AGGACGAAGCCGCCGGTCACTCACCAGCCGGGCAGAGCGGCCGGGGCCTGGGGCCGGGGACAGGGAAGTCGGGGGGTCGGGGGCAGCCTCCTGCAGGCTCCGTGTTCTGCTGGGACAACCCCAGGGACCCCGACAGAGTGGACGGGGCAGGGCTGGTCCCAGGCTCCGCATTCAGCATTCGCATGGTCACGAGCGCCCCAGCTGGGGTGGGGGGTGCTGGGGAGACTGGGAGGGCCCAGAGCTGGTGAGGTGATTGGGGGGGGGCACAGGAGGGAGGGAGCCAGGCTCAGCGGGCAGCGTGTGGGCCAAGCCATGACGCTCCCTGCACGTCGGTGAGACTCCGTGGGGCCCAGCAGAACCGGCATGTCTTATGTTGCTACTTAATTTTATACTATCCAACTTTGTAAACCAGGTTAACTTTAGTGAGCCACTGTGAAAATATTAGATCTGGAACTTAAATATGTTGAAGGTCTTTCTAAAAGCCACATTAATATAATGGGCAAAAAGTATATTTTCTTTTTGGGGTTTCTCAACTGGAAATTTATTTGTCATCATCATTGTTTCAACAATCTACTCTATGCAGTATGATCACAGGGAATGATTTTTATTTGAGGGGCGGTGGGCAGAGCTCAGGGAGGAAAGCTGTGGGAGTGGGAGGTTCAGCCAGAGGGACACGGCGGGATGTGGAGGTGAGCGGCCTTTCTGGGGTGCGCGGGCCTTGGGGTGCCTGACGAGAAAGACCAGGAGAGGGTGGCCGTGTGTCAGGGGGCAGAGCGGGGTGAGGAGGCAGGAGCAGGAGACAAGCAGCGGGTCCCCGGGGGCTGGAGAGGGTGGGAGCCCCCTGCCCCGAGACTGGAGTTTGGTCTGGGAAGGAGACCTCAGACCCCAGGCCTGCGGACTCTCCGTCTGCCCCTCAGGCCCTCGCCCCCCAGAGGTGGGCACAGAGGGGCCACAGAGCCGAGAGGACCAGCAGGGCCGGGCGGAGTCCCCGGTCCCCGCCCTGTGCCCACCTGTCCTCGCTGCGTGGGGCCCAGCCCCCCACAGCCACCCCCACGCCTCGGCCCGGGGGGTCCCGGGCGCGCCCAGACTCCAGACGGGCATTGTTCTGTCGGAGCCCCGCGTGGACAAGCCCCGGTTAAACCTGC